TTCGGATTATGGCAAACGAGGGTGAAGGATCTATTGGCGCAGCAAGGGATCTTGAAGGCTTTGCGATCTACAAAGCCGGCGTCGATGGATGAGGAAGATTGGGAAGAATTGCAGCAGCGAGCGGCAGGAACCATACGATTATGCTTGGCGGACGAGGTCATGTATCACGTCATGCATCTATCGTCTCCAGACGAAATTTGGAGGAAGTTGGAAAGTCAGTTTATGTCCAAATCCTTAACGACAAAACTGTATCTGAAGCAGCGGCTGTATGGGCTGAAGATGCAGGACGATCACGATTTGGCGCAACACGTGAATGTCTTCAATCAAATCGTTTCTGATCTGGCTCGGCTTGATGTGAAAATTGAGGATGAAGACTGAGCGATGATTCTGTTGTGTTCGTTGCCTCCCTCTTACGAACACATGGTGACTACTCTTACATATGGGAAAGAGACTATCAATGTTGAGGAGATTACTGCAGCCTTGTTGGCTCACAACCAGCGGAAGCAGAATGCAGGGGAAAGCTCTCAAGCCGATAGCTTATATGTCAAGGGTAATCGAGATCGTGGACGGAAGCCAGAGAAGGCAGGGTCCGGGAAGCGGAATTCCAGATCCAAATCCAGGGATAAGAAGACGATTCACTGTTACAAGTGCAAGGAGGCGGGACATATGAAGCGAGACTGTCCGAAGTTGAAAAAACAGACTGATGAGAAGCGTGATGGCTCATCCAAGTCTGTGAACGTGGTCGAGGATGATAATTCTGATTGCAGTGAGGGTGATATGCTTTCTATTTCAACGACACAATTGACGGATGCTTGGATTCTTGATTCTGGATGTTCTTATCACATCACCCCAAATAGGGAATGGTTTTCGACATACAGGCCGGTTAATTCTGGTTCGGTTTATTTGGGTGATGATCGATGTTGCAATATTGTTGGTATTGGTGATGTCAGAATTAAGATGCACGATGGCTCCGTTCGGACGTTGAGTGGTGTTCGACATATCCCAGACTTGAAGAAGAATTTGATTTCCTTGGGCACTTTGCACAAGAATGGTTTTATCCCTAAGGCTGACGAGGATAGGGAAACCATTCGGATTGTTAAAGGAGCATTGACTGTGATGAAAGGCAAGATGACTGCAGGGAATATCTACAGATTGTTAGGGAGTACCGTTGCAGGTGGAGTTCACTCTGTTGAGTCCTGTGATGATACGACAAAATTGTGGCATATGCGCCTTGCTCATCTTAGTGAACGTGGTATGGCAGAATTACACAAGAGAAACTTGTTGCATGGTGTCAAAAGCTGTAAGCTCGACTTTTGCAAGTATTGTGTTCTTGGTAAACAGACTAAAGTCCGTTTCAAGACTGCGAAGCACACAACTCAAGGGATTCTTGATTATGTGCATTCTGATGTATGGGGGCCTTCCACGACATCGTCTTTGGGTGGATCTAGGTACTACGTTACTTTTATTGATGATTTTTCACGGAAAGTTTGGGTGTATTTTTTGAAACAGAAATCTGAAGTTTTTGAGAAGTTCAAGCTGTGGAAAGCTGAGGTAGAAAACCAACAGGACGAAAAATCAAGTGTTTGCGGTCTGACAATGGTACGGAGTACACAGATTCACAGTTCCTACAATTCTGTAAGGAGCATGGGATTCAGAGGCATTTTACAGTGCGCAAGACACCACAACAGAATGGTGTTGCGGAACGAATGAACAGGTCGTTGAATGAAAGAGCCAGATGTTTGCGGTTGAATGCGGGGCTTCCCAAACACTTCTGGGCTGAGGCTGTTAACATGGCGTGTTACCTTATCAACAGATCGCCAAGGGCATCGCTGGCTGGGAAAGTTGCAGAAGAGGTATGGACTGGTCATGATGTTATTTTTGATAACTTACGGATTTTGGTTGTCCTGCTTATGTGCATGTACCTGCTGATGAGAGATCCAAACTTGATGCAAAATCGAAGGAGTGCATTTTTCTGGGTTACAAGAAAGGTGTCAAAGGATTCAAGTTCTGGGATCCAGTTGCGAAGAAAGTTGTGATTAGTAGAGATGTCGTTTTTGATGAACAATCCATGTTGCAGCAGAAGCAAGACACGACAGTGGTGGATTTCGAGCAGTTTCCAGTTGAGAAACCAGAAACTTCTCAACCGACTTCTGGTGGTTCCACTACGGATGATTTGCAGGATTATAGTCTCGCCAGAGACAGGGTGAGACGGACGAATATAAAGCCTCCGAACAGATTGGGTTTTGAAGACTTGGTATCTTTTGCACTTATTGTTAGCAGTGATGATCCAGTTACTTTTCATGATGCCGTTACTAGTCAGGAAAACGACAAGTGGATGGCAGCCATGGTTGAGGAGATGGAGTCTTTGAATCACAATCGCACATGGGAGTTAGTTCCCCTTCCTGAGGGTAAGAAGCCGATTGGTTGCAAATGGGTGTATAAGAAGAAACCAGTAGTAACAGAAAAAGAGGGGGAGAAGTTCAAGGCTCGTTTGGTAGCGAAGGGTTTTTCACAGCAGAAAGGAGTTGATTATGATGAAATATTTTCTCCTGTGGTCAGGCACACTTCAATCCGAGCAGTACTTGCATTGGTGGCTAGTTGGGATTTGCATTTAGAGCAGATGGATGTTAAAACTGCTTTTTTGCATGGTGATTTAGAGGAGCAGATCTACATGCGGCAACCTGAAGGTTTCACTCAACCTGGAAACGAGCATTTAGTTTGCAGATTGAAGAAATCTTTGTACGGGTTGAAACAGTCTCCGAGACAGTGGTATAAACGGTTTGACTCCTATATGATCAAGATTGGCTACAACCGATGTGAGTTTGATTGTTGTGTCTATGTTAAGAGCCTTGATGATGGTTCTTTTATTTTTCTATTACTGTATGTTGATGATATGTTGATTGCTGCGAAGAACATGGATGATGTTATCGGTTTGAAAACTTTATTGAGTCAGGAATTTGATATGAAAGATTTAGGTGCTGCAAAGAAAATTCTTGGAATGGAAATTTACAGGGACAGAGACTCAAGGAAACTGCGGCTATCTCAACGGGGTTATGTTGAGAAAATGCTAGAAAGGTTTGCGATGAGCAGCGCAAAACCAGTTAGCACTCCATTGGCGAATCACTTTAAGCTCTCATCAGAACAGTGCCCCAAGACAGATAAGGAAGCTGAAGATATGGCAAAGGTTCCGTATTCTAATGCTGTTGGCTGCTTGATGTATGCGATGGTATGTACTCGTCCTGATTTAGCTCATGCTGTTAGTCAAGTTTGTAAGTACATGTCTAAACCTGGTAAGCAACATTGGGAAGCAGTCAAGTGGATCTTTCGGTACTTAAAGGGTACTGTGGGACATGGAATTGTTTTTGGGAGTCAGCGGGATAATCCTTTGGTTGTAGGATATGTGGATTCAGACTATGCAGGTGACTTGGATAATAGAAGATCTACGACAGGGTATGTCTTTACTCTTGGTGGAGGGCCTATTTGTTGGAAGTCTACTGTTCAATCTATTGTGGCTCTATCTACAACTGAAGCTGAGTACATGGCAGCGGCTGAAGCTGTAAAAGAAGCTTTATGGCTTACTGGTTTAGTGAAGGAGTTGGGTGTTCAACAAGGTGGAGTTCAGTTGCTTTGTGATAATCAAAGTGCTATTCACTTGGCTAAGAATCAGGTGTATCGTGCTAGAACTAAACATATTGATGTAAGGTTCCACAAGATCAGAGAGTTGGTTGCATCTGGAGAGGTTTTGTTTCAGAAGGTACATACTGATGAAAATGCCGCTGATATGTTCACTAAGCCAGTTACGACAGACAAGTTCAAGCATTGCTTGGACTTGTTGAATGTTTCGAGTTGTTAAAGAATCAAGGTAACCCAACCCACATTGAATTTTCCAAGAGGCAGGATATTCGCCAAGGTGGAGATTTGTTAGGTATGACTCATAAATATACCAGTAAAGAGGACAGGAGATGGAGCGGAGTGAGCGAAGCGAACATCAACTGTCCTTACAAAGAAAGTCTCGTTGTGGGGTTACGAATTATGTGGGTTGGGGGTGCGGGGGCTGCGCCCCCGCGGTACGGTACAGGGTTAATTTTGTAATTATGTACCAGGGTTTTCTATTATAAATAGAGATGTAACCTAGACCTAAAATTCAATAATTGAATAAAAACTTCTAGCGCCGCCTAGGCACCGAGGACGTAAGCACATTGCCGAACCTCGTAAAATTCTCGTGTTCTTTTGTTTTCTTTACCCGTTTTCGTCAACAATTACTCTCTTAATATCATACACCTAAGTTCTTAATTTTTTTATATAGTTAAATTGATTATAAAATAGCATATATTTTAAATATTCTTAATCATTTAATAATAAACGTTTAATTATTTTACTACAATAATTAGTATTTTAATTTTCGAGTTAATTCGGTTCATATGCTCACCTTAAGTTCCATTAAGGAAGAAAACGCTTTTTTAACTGAAAAAATAAATATAAATTGTTTTCCCCTCTAAAATTAAATAAAATAATGTAAATATTCAAATTGCATAAAAAGGAAGAACAGATAAGGTAATGAAAAGGCATGGATAAACGTGAAAGTAGGTCCCGCCCCATTACGCCACGTCATCAGTTATTGTATTCAGAGAATCAGTCAGGTGGGGCTCACGTGGCTCCGGCCATAGTCATGATCTCGGTTCGTCCACGTAGGACTGATTTGCAGAATCGGCCATGTCATCACCCCAATCTTCGATCTTCTTGGTTTTAGAAGAATATATATTTCACCCACCATGGGCTTCCACGTAGCTCCCAATTAACACGTTCCCCATTTCCGTACACGTCACCACAGTCAAAATCAAGTTTTTAACTCTGCGTAATTTTTTTTTTTACATTTTTATTCAGAATTAATGATAAATAGTAATTAATAAATAAAATTTTATTAGTATATCATATTACAGGCTAAATTACAAAACTATCCTTCAGGCGTTTTAAATAGCGAAAAGGTTTAATTAGATTTCATTTTATCCATTAGATTTAGTTTTGAAAGAAAAGGAAAATGAGGAAGTGCGAACTATGCGGTGAGTTAGCTCGAATGCACTGCGAATCGGACCAAGCGAACCTGTGCTGGGACTGCGACGTCAAGGTTCACGGAGCCAATTTCCTTGTGGCTAAGCACACCAGAACCCTCCTCTGCCATGTCTGTCAAAACCCTACTCCATGGCTCGCCTCCGGTCAACACCTCGGCCCTGCTGTCTCCGTTTGCGAGTCATGCGTCGCCATCAACGATAATACTTGCGGTGTTTCTACAGAGCCGGAAGAGTCATCGGAGGCCGATGACGACGACGACGAAGAAGAAGAAGATTATGATGACTTCAGCGACGATGAAGAAGAAGAAGACGAAGAGGAAGAAGATGATGCAGAGAATCAGGTGGTTCCGTGGTCAGGAGGTTCTTCTTCTTTTCCGATGACGAAGCCGGTGGCTAGCTCGGCTTCTTTGAGTAGTACTGAAGGCGGTGCCGGTTTTGGATTGAAGAGGATGAAAAGAAGTCTTAGTTTCTGCTCTGACGTATGTTGATTTGTTTTCCTTGCGCTGTTTTTAGCCTTTTAATTATATTCATCTTTAAAAATATGAAAATTTTGCCGTTTCATGCTTGAGTTTCGAATCTGAAAGTGTTTAAGTTAGATGATTATTCCAGTTTATGTTTTAAATTTTGAAATTTTCTTTTTGTTTGAATTCTTTGCCATATGCATTTTCTAAGGAACCAAACAGTGTGTTTCTAACAAGGTGAAATTGCTATTTCTTTCTCTTTTTACGACTGCAGGATGAGATTGCGTGCTCCTCATCTCATGTAGGCTCGATAGGATCATCCAATGCAGAAGCATCATCTTCAATGAGCTCGTCAAGACTATTAAAGCAACCAAGATTACCCGAAGCTAATCATTCAGCTATTAATCAAGATGACGGTGAAACAGAGTCCAGATCAACGGCAGCTCTTTGAAAAGTTTTCAGAAGCACAAGATCATTGATGATAATGATGCATCGGCTACGATCATTGAGATCTGCAGATTGAGCAGAGATCAGAGCCGTTATATTCCACCTCCCTCCAAATCTCTTATTATACCCTAACCTACACCATTCAATACCCTTTTTTCCCTTTTCTGGAAATGTTACAATTTTCTTGACATAAAAAGCCATTGTTGTCTTCTTCTTCTTTTAATTCAGCTTTGAAAATGTTGGAATTTCCTTTTATTGTTATATTTTTAATACTATAATTATTTTAATAAAAAATTTATCAACTTGTGTTTATAGATATATAATAAATTGATATTAAAAATGTATATAATTAACAAATTGTTTCTTAAAAATTAATTAATAGAATTTTTAATTAAATTCTATAGTACGGGGTTTTGACCTAAAAATCACCTTATTAAAAAATATTACATATCAAACATCTTTTCCCAATTATTTTTCGATCTAACACATTTTTTCAGAATAGAAAATGAGGCGCACTGCAGGAGACACGTTTTAGTTGGGGGAGGCAAGACGCGTCGCATGAAACACGTCTTCCATGGGTTTTATGAATACCACAATCTAGGGAACGCGTCTCCCATACCCGGTGGTTTTATATTTATGGTTTTATGTTAGAGCAGTTTTAGGATTTTGTAATTGGATTTAGCGTATTTTTTAGTGGTTTAGGGTGTTATATTTATATGATTTAGGATTAAAATTGATTATATGTTAGAATGTTTGTATTTTTAAAGTATGATTTAGGGTTAAAATTGATCGTACGTTAGATTGTAATAAATAAACATTAAACATTTAATTAAAAATATATATAGATAATTTCTAGAATGGTCGGACCATCATCTTCGATTTCTTTTTAACCTCTTAAATTTGTCATCATCATTTCCTTAATTTGCTTATTAAATCAAATGAAAAAAATTAATATGAACTATTAAGCCAAAACACAATGGCAAAATCACAATCACTATTAAATATTTTGACCTCCAATACTTTTAATCAATGCCTTGATGAATCAAGTACAAGTTGTGAATAATATATTTTACATTTAACTATTTTACAAGAATCTTGATAAAGAAAAGCAATAGATCACCATATAAAAGGTTTAAATGAACTATTAATGCAATATTATAATTGTACATTTTTAACTTTTTAATCAACTATTAGTTGGTTTAACGAATAAGATGTTAATTCTTTTAAGAAAGATTAAAATTTGAATTTTAGTATTTACTTGGAGTAAACTAAATTTAAAGGGAAATTCTCGTAATAAAATTATATAATATCTCGTCAGGATTAATTGATCGATAAATTAAATTATAAATATTTATATTTATATTATTTTAAATCCTTCTAAAATCAAATAAATATTTTTTTCATTGTCAATGAATTTGTGAAATTCCAAATAAAAAATAAATTATAGGTAAAGGAAGGCGACTAACCTAACAATAAAAAATAAATTTTGGCTGTAGCTAATCATGGTTTACAGCAATTAAAAAGCATGTGTGGTGCCTAGAAAACGAAACTCCCCGGATAAAGTGTAAATGAGTAATGATTAAGAGATAATAAAAAAAATCAACTTGCAAAGCTCCATTGATTAACTTGATTGATTTGATGTACCCATATTTAATTAATTTAGAGATATAGAACTTTTTTATCTTATTATTTTGATATTTTTATAATCAGATCTTTTAATTTTTAATAATTATATTTAGATCTGAAATCACCATATTTTCAGGGAGTTTCTATCTTAGTTATGTGATTCTCAATTTTGATTTGAGTTTAGGTGAGTACATCGAGGCATTTAGGGTTATTAGGGTATTTTCAGGAATTCTGGCAACCTTGAGAGGTGGTCGGACTGGTGGCCGATGTGGTGGTTTTGGGATTTGATGAGGTTGTCGACAGAGAGAAGAGAGGAGTTGAGAGAAAAAAGCAAACATTTTTTTTTGTGTTTAGGTTGAAATATGAGTTAAAACCAAAAAAAAAAAGATAAGTAATATATCATTTTCTTTTGGGATAATCACGCATAAGTCACCATAGGTTTATTGTGTTTTTATAAAGTATTCATTAATCTCCGTGCCTTTCTTTTTTTTTTTTGAAGTACTAATCCTGCTATTTCCCATTTTTGTGCTTATTATTTTGCTAGTGTTTTATTTTTATGGGTTATTTGTGTTCATGCCACTCAACATTTAGCGTATTTTTGTAAATAGGTCCCTTGTTTTTTTTTTAATTTCGTAAATCGAATAAAACATGTAGACCCTGATTGTGCGTTTTCCCGTTTTATGTTAGCTTATATAAAAAGGAAAAACTGTCTTTATATCCTTTGAATTTAAATGCATTTTTATATTTAAGTCACGGATTGCTTCTTTTGTTTTATTAATTGTAACATGGTGCACTGATCTCGATATTATACCGTTTTCTTTTCATTCCCTTTTCTTTAAAATTTCTATTCCCTTTAAAAATAGTTGTTTCCACATTTTGATTTTATCTTCTTCCTAATCACGAGACATGGGTTTTGATTCCTATTATGTTTGTTTCTTTCCTTTCTCAATATTATTTCTTTCTTTGTGAATTATTTTTTACTTTTTATAGCATTTATGTTAATTAGTTTATTTACTTAATTCGAATTTTTTATGTTTATTTAAAATGGTTGTATTCCTTGTGCAGATTTTATTTTTAGTCTAGGATTTTACTTGTTTAATTCAATCCTTAGATTAATTCGAGGAGAATTTACGTTAGGCAAACCATGATCTTTTGAATTTATTTTATTTCTATCAAAGGTCATCTATTATAATAATAAAAATTTATCATTTTATAAAACTAGAATATTCGAATAGGGTTTCTTTCGTTTTAGGTGTTGAATACATTAGATCCTTTAAAATTAGGTCTAGTTTGTATCTATTTCTTTTGTTTATTAGAGACTTAGTTAGATAATTTAGTATTTGATGTTACTATTAGAGAATGTTAATTTGTAGAGCCTAGAACAGCTAGTGAACTCTTTTCTATATTCCGCACTTAGATTAAAGAAACATGTCATACGTTTTCAATACCTTCGACACATGATTTCAAATGGGGTATGTTCTCGAATCAATTGGATGTTCGATATCTTTCTAGATGTTGGAGGATTTCGAGGTTATTTGACGAGGGAACATATCTTTGACTTTTTTCATAAACAATATCATTACGATTATGAGATTTTTCAGACTTTGAGAAATATTTCTAAATTTTCTTAAACGTTAGAAAATTTAAAGGTGTTTTTAAAGAATTGTAGAATCCCGAATGTTTTAGCAATTTCGTAAAAATCGGGGTGTCTTTTCGAATGGGATTGGATCTCAATATTCTTCTAGAGGTTGGGGAATGCTCGAAATCACCCATGAAAGACGTCACCTTTGAAATTTTACATAGATTAATATGTGAATTTTGAGATTTTCAGACACAATTTAGATTCTCTTAGTCGTTAGGGAATCCAAAATTAATCTTGAGAACTTGAAAATTCTCTATTAATCTAAATGTCATTCATGAGTAGAGACAAAATATTCGTGGTCAAGTGAGTGTCATTTTCATGGGCGTGATGAGGGTGTTAACCCTTCCTCAGACGTAACCGTGCACCCGAACCCACGAACCCAATTCTGGTTTTCATAAACCCTAAATTATTATAGTATTCCAATCTCACCCTAAATAGATTGGTAGCCACTCTTAACATTTCAAAATTACAAACCATAAATTTTTTTATTCCCCGAGTAAAAAATTGTGCGTAGATCTAACAATTTGGGCCATACCACTTCAGGTTGGATCATCATAAATGGCCAGGATTTAGTTTCATAAACATGTTCCTACCGGTAGTACCTAGAACTGGAAAAAGCTCTTGAAGATGAGGAAAAATAGCTGCGTAATGTCGACACGCACACGAGCATGGACTATGGTTCCTTTTCCGCATACCAAAGAACTCCTTGGTGGCTTACTTGGCAATGCATGATAGATTGGTTGCCCGAGATAGGTCTATTAGACGAGGACTTGGTACTGAAGGTAGATGCATCCTCTGCTTCGTTCAGTTGGAGACAGGTTCACTTGTTGCTCGAGTGTAGTTATTTGGGAAGGTGTTCTAGACCTGTTATGAGTTTAACAGCATGAGCTGCAATAGTTTTATCTCATATTTCATCATATTCAAAGTACAAACAGCTTGTTGAAACTAAAACCAAATGCCGACACAAGGTTTATCTTATAGTAATTATATCAAAGTACAAGCAAAATAACATCCTTCAGTTCAGTGACCATAATCAAATCAAGAACCTCGTTAACCGTACAACATCATCGTCAAAGAGTTGTTACAAAGACCAGAAAACCCTAGTATCAATCCATTTTAACCATCAACTTGCACAAACTTTTCACCGCTTCTCTTCACACCAGCTAATTCCTAGACTTGCTATAACGCAAGATGGAGAAAATAAGAATGAAAGGTATAACTTTGAGATTGAAGATGTTTCCAACACCAAGATACGAACCTGCTAATTATGCTAAGCATCTGCCACGAAAGAAGCATAAAAAACTAATGTCAATTTACAAGTTTGCATTGCAGTAAGTTCAAAATTCAGCAACTCACAAGTTTCATACAGGAAACCAAAAGTCATAAAAGAAACTAAGGAAGCTTTGCTTGTTAAACATGCTACGGATTTCATAACAGGCAGTCTCATGTTTACTACATGTACACCAGGAAATGATATCGAGTACAGACAGCTCTTTTTCTTTGCATGTCTACTCATTTCTTTGTAAGTAGACATATTTTCTTATAAAACACATTGGAACAATACATACATACATACATTTCAACATTTTAGCATCTAATAGTTATTTCTTTGTACATAGACTTATTTGCTTATAAAACACATCGGAACTATACATACATTGGAACTATACTACTTCCAACAGCAATATATGAAGCATCCGGATAGGTATGTTGCAAAGAAATATGTATGAAAACTGAGAGTGTTCTAGCAA